AGGGGCGGGGCCCAATAGGGGAAATAGAGGATTTTTTTTCTCCTGCTATACAAGTGAAGGGATTTTAACCAAATGCAGTCTGAAGCATGATTAGGGACAAAAGAATCAATTTTGTATAAACTGAGGTGTGTGGGCCTCCTTCTAAGGGCAGATGGGTGGGGCCCATTAGGGGAAATAGAGGAAAACATCAAATATCCTTCTCCTTTTGTACCGATGAAGGGATTTTGACCAAATTTGGTCTGGAGCATCATTGGCCAAAGGGTTCTCAGTTTTGTATGAACGGAGGGTATGGTCCCCCTGGGGGCAGAGGGACGGGGCCAAATAGGGGAAAATAGGTAAATCTTTAAAAATCTTCTCCTCAACCAATTGAAGGATTTTGACCAAATTTGTCCTAGAGCATCTTTGGACAAAGGAGACTCAAGTTTGTATAAACGGAGGGTGTGGGCCTTCTGGCGGCATAGGAGCGGGGCCCAATAGGGGAAATAGAGGATTTTTTTTCTCCTACTATACAAGTGAAGGGATTTAAACCAAATGCAGTCTGAAGCATGCTTAGGGAGAAAAGAATCAATTTTGTTTAAACTGAGGTGTGTGGATTCCCCTTCTTTGGGGCAGATTAGTGGGGCCCATTAGGGGAAATAGAGGAAAACATTAAAGATCCTTCTCCTTCTGTACCGTTGAAGGGATTTTAACCTAACCAAACTTGTTTTAGAGAATCTTTGGGCAAAGGGAATTGAATATTTATAAATGGAAGATGCAACTTTGTTACTTGTACTCCTTTGATAAACCTGAATGGTACTCAGCAGGTTTTAAATTGAAAAATAAAATACCAGGTGAGCTATTAAGGCCCCTGGGCCTCTTGTTAGGTCACCTGAGACAAAGTCTCAAGTGACCTATTGCGATCGCCTTTTGTCCGTCTTGTCCACCGTGCGTCTGTAAACAATTTACATTTTCAACTTTTTTCTCCAAAACCCCTGAACCAATTTCAATGAAACCTTCCATGGCCAAAGGTCAAC